GAATATTATTCAGTCGTAAAAAGGAATGAAGTCCTGATACGGGCTACACCATGAATGAACCTGAAATATTATGCTAAGTGAAATAAGCCAGGTACAAAAGACTGATACTGTATGATTCCGTTTAGAATCTAGAAATATCTAAACAGGCAAATTCATAAAGACAGAAAGAGCGCGGTTGTGGTGGCTCACGTCTGCAATCCCAGCGCTTTGGGAGGCTGAGGCGGGTGGATCAATTGAAACCAGGAGGTCGAGACCATCCTGGTCAATAAGGTCAAACCCCATCTCTACAAAAAAATAGAAAAATTAACTGGGTGTTACCGTGCATGCCTGTAGTCCCAGCTACTCAGGTGGCTGAGGCAGGAGAGTCACTTGAACCTGAGACGCAGGTTGCAGTGAGCAGAGATTGTCCCACTGCCCTCCAGCCTGGGGGACAGTGTGAGACTCCGTTTAAAAAAAGGAAGAAAAGAAGGGAGGGAGGGAGGAATGGAGGGAAGGAATAAGAAAAGAAAAAAGGTGTAAAGCTTACCAGTGTAGTTGGAGGTGGAACTAGGGAGTTACTGTTGAATGGTTACCAAGTTTTTCTATTTGGGGTGATGGAAAAGTTTGGAAACAGTGGTGATAGTTGGTACAACACTGTGAATGTAATTAATGCCACTGAATTGAACACTTAAAAATGATTAAAATGGAAACCTTTATGTTATGTATCTTTTACCACAATAGAAAAGATTCTGAATAAGCAATAGATAATCTTAACTGAAGAGAATAAAATTACGGGAAGTAGGGCCAGTCATGGAAAACCTAGGGCCTACGCCCACCCTTCACACTTGAAGCAGTTCCTGAATAAGGCACTTGTGGAAAATGAGCCTCCTTTCTCATCTCTTTGTGGGTTTTCGAGGGTGACTATTTAAGCCCAGGCTGGCTGCCAGCGTTCCATGTCCACCTGCAGCAGGTGCTGTTATTATGGGTTGTCGTGAGAATTAAATGAGAAATTCACTTTGCACCTTTATCTCACGACGTGGCATTAGTAACTGTCCAATCAACTGGAGTTACAAACTTAAAAGCCTGTCAGTGATGAAGACAATGGGGAAGCCACTTCCCTCATGGGGACCCAGGGGCACACTAACCCTGGACCCCAAAGTCTGAAGTGGTCAGAAGGGAAGGAGGTGAGCTGCCCAACCTTAAAGAACACAACAAGCCAGGCCATGCATTTCCCAGTGCCCTTCAGTGCTCAGTAGCTGCCCAGAGAAGGTCTAGCCACTTAAAAAAATCAGCCAATAATTCTATCTACTCCGGAGGCTGAGGCACAAGGATCGCTTGAACCCAGGAAAGGGAGGTTGCAGTGAGCTGAGACGGCACCACTGCACTCCAGCCTGGGTGACAGAGTGAGACTCCGTCTCAAAAAAGGAAAAAAAAAAAAATCAGCCAAAGTCCAATATAATTAGGAAGGAGAGTCTGGGACGAAAAAAGAAATGTGTGAGGGGTGACATTCCAAGGCCAAATTGGTAAGAGTTCACAATTCTCTGTGAAAGAATGCAAAGTCCTCTTGTAATTATAATGACGGTAGTTTTCAGTCACCTTGAGCAGAGCTGATAATTGACTCACTGCAGCTTGCCTCATTTCTCTGTCATTGCTGGGGAATGAGGTGTTTTAAGTGAATTTTCTAGATAACTGAAGCTTATCCCTGTGAACCCTAACGTTGTTTTTCCATTTAATCACTCTGGGGAGGAATTTCTCCGGAATGAATTACACACTTCTCTGCTTCCTTAATCAGAATATTCTAAATTAAATGTGGCTTCTTCCTGTCAATTTGGATATGAGAGGCTATTTGCCCCTATATTAATGGCTCCAAGTTACTTGGCTTTTTTTTTTTTTTTTTTTTTTTTTTTTTTTTTTTTTTTTTTTTTTTTTTTTTTTTTTTTTTTTTTTTTTTTTTCTACACGTTTCCTATTTCCATGGTTTCTTACTGTGACATAGAGCTCTTGCTCACATATTTTTAGGAGCCCCATAGAACATGCAGACGTTGGCAAGGCACGGTGGCTCATGACTGTAATCACAGAACTTTGGGAGGCCGAGGCAGGTGGATTACCTGAGGTTGCAAGTTCAAGACCAGCCTGGCCAACATGGTGAAACCCCGTCTCTACTAAAAATGCAAAAAATTATCCAGGCGTGGTGGCACATGCCTGTAATCCCAGCTACTCAGGAGGCTGAGGCAGGAGAATCACTTGAACCCAGGAGACGAAGGTTGTGGTGAGCTGAGATCGCACCACTGCACTGCAGCCTGGCAACAGGAGCGAAACTCTATCTCAAAAAAAAAAATGCAGACACAAACATACACATGTGCCTATACATACACACTCACATGCCAGTCTGTAATGTGAGGAAGCAGAGTGCCAGGTTTAATAGAACTGTGTTTACATCCTTCTGTAATGCCCTGAGCCACCCGTGTTAGAGGACTTTCGTAGTGTACCATGAACGCTGCTCCAGCATTTCTGCCCACTCAACTGTGCACCCCAACAGGGCAGGGCACCTTCTGGCACTAGCAGGTCCTTGGTAAATGTTTTTGAGTGGGCAAGCAGAAGAATGAAGACACCCAAGTGTTACCACGTGGACTTTATGACAATATTCTAGCTTCCTTATCAGAAGGCTAGCTTTGCTTCCTACTGGGTTTTGGCTGCGCCAGAAAGAACAGAGGTCGTTTTATAAGCAAAGCGTAACCGTGCGCCCTGGGATGCACGAAGAGCAAACCGGCTTTGGGCCCCAACAGTTTCATACAGAGCCAAGGTCTCAGGGCAGTAACTGCAGCCCCAAGAAAGGAAGGGGATTCCTTGTGCTGGATCCTGAGATGGTTCACAGTGATGAACAGAGAAGAAGTGGCCGGTCCCTGAGGCATCCCTGACCTGTGCTTTGTGGCTGCCACCTTGTCCCCAAGGCCACCTCTAAATTTCAGTCTTTGGACTCACCCTCTAGAAAGTGTCACATGACCTGCAGTGGAGAGAGCTAGAACCAGGAGACCTGGGCCTGCCCTTGCTGTGACCTCAGGCAGTCACTTCCCTTCTCTGACCCTGTGTTTCTCCATCTGTGACATGGGAACATAAGAAAACCTAACTTACACGGTTGTTGTGAGGGTTACATTTTAGTCATGTATGTAGTCACATCTTACAGACGATAAACTGTGTGAATTCAACTACGTGTTCTTGACAACTAAAAGAGAAATGGTACCACAGAGAATTCTGCCGGTCCTTCTGCTCACTGGGTGTGTGTCTCGGGGAAAGGATGAGGTGGAAGGTGCTGGACTGCTGGATACTCAGTCACCCTCCGTCCTGTGAGCCTTTTTTTTTTTTGGAGACAAAGTCTTGCTCTGTCGCCCAGGCTGGAGTGCAGTGGTGAAATCTTGGTTCACTGCAACCTCTGCCTCCCGGGTTCAAGCCATTCTCCTGTCTCACCCTCCCAAGTAGCTGGGACTACAGGAGCACACCGCCACACCCAGCTAATTTTTGGTATTTTAGTAGAGACGGAGTTTCATCATGTTGCCCAAGCTGGTCTCAAACTCCTGAGCTCAGGCAGTCCACCCGTCTCGGCCTCCCAAAGTGCTAGGATTACAGGCGTGAACCACGGCGCCCAGCCGCCTGTGAGCCTTTTTCGATGTGAGTGGAGGCTGTAGCCTTACTCATGTAATACCAAGTGGCAAATATAGAGTGAGACTCATTCATGATTTGACAGCTCCGTTTGTGTGTGTGAATACTTGGGGCACAGAGGAAGAAGGGATGAACCAAGATAGGGTGATGGGCATTCCAGGCCTCGGTGGTTCTGTCTGCTAAAGGATGATGGGCAGGCTCCATGACATTGACCACTTGACCTTGGCCGGTAGGTGGGAGGGACATACGGGGGACTGGTAGGGCTGGTGGGGCAGTCATTCCACCAACCTTCAGCCCCCAAAGACCACATGCACTCAGTGGCCACACTGGAACCTTGTACCTGGAAGTCTGACCTGATCTCCTTAGCTGGGAGCAATCATTCTTTCCATTGAACTTCTCCCAGAACTTAACGTTACGTGTGCCTGTCCGTGCCTGAATTCCACACCCCACTCCCACCCCAGAATTTGGGGAAATGAGGCTGTAGCTGAGGACATCGTGTTATTGTGTGTCCTGTACGCATCAGGTGAGGGTCAGGGTGGGAGGTGGCAGCAGGCGGGGTGACCTACCTGGGGCTCTGCGGTTCAGCCCCTTTCCATAGCCCTAGACTGTGAATTTCTGCAAAACTGGCTCAGCTATCACTCTTTGAGACGTTTAATTACATTTAAGATCTTGAAGGCTGTCTGTTAGCTCCCAGGGAAGCATTTCGTTTTCCTCCTCCTGAAGCTGGCTGCTTGGAAGGTAATGAAATTGAACTGAAGCTGAAGCAACCAGGGGTCGTAGGCATTACTGAGAGGAAGAAGCATGAGGTAGAGCCAGGGAGGGGCAGGAGAAAACCAGCGTGTGTGGGGAAGAGGGAGAAGGGGCAGGAAAGGCAGAGAAGTGGGAGCTGGCCTGGGCTAGGTCCGGCAGGCCCCAGGAAGAGGGGCAGAGTCACAGAGAAGACGTGGCAGATGGCAAAAGAAAGGGCCCAGCAGAAAGGAACACAGAAAGGCAGCCGGCTGAGAGTTTAGCAGAGACGGAGGGAGGTCAACAGCTTGTGGCTCCAGAATTTCAGTACAGGAGAGGGGGCTTTGGCACAGCCATTTGGTTGGAAGAGCATGGCCGGACCAGGAGGTGGGTTCTGAAGCTGCCTTGAGGGAACAAGCCCTCTGCCCCTCTTAGCCTGTGTGACGATTTGCGTGACTTCGTGGAAGAACTCGTGGAGCTTATGAGGCACCAAAGCTTCCACCCAGGCGCCCCTTGCTGCCCCCTGTCCAGGGAGGGGTGCTGCAAAGATGGGAAGGCCGCATGGGCATCGGTTGCCGGCCTCTGCCCCAAGGAGAGCCTTCGAGGCTCCTGACACCCGACCATCCCCATCTCTCGCAGGCTGTGACAGCGACCACTGGGGCCCCCACTGCAGCAACAGGTGCCAGTGCCAGAATGGCGCCCTGTGTAACCCCATCACAGGCGCCTGCGTGTGCGCCGCCGGCTTCCGTGGATGGCGTTGCGAGGAGCTCTGCGCACCTGGCACCCACGGCAAGGGATGCCAGCTGCTGTGCCAGTGCCGCCACGGCGCCAGCTGTGACCCCCGCACCGGCGAGTGCCTCTGTGCGCCTGGCTATGCTGGCGTCTAGTGAGTAACGCGGGGGGCCTGGAGGGGTGGGGGGCCTGGAGGGAGCCCGCCCTGGGGAGGGGTCTGGAGTGGCTGCCCTCAGGGCAACTGCACGCCCCGCCCCAGGCCTCCTTGGGGGTGGGCTGTGTGGTGGGACCAGGAGAGTCAGGATAGTCTTGGCTGTGAAATCTCCTGTGAATCTAAACACCCAGGACTCACCCACGCAGGTCTCAGATTCCTGTCTTCCAGGTCCCTGTTGCTAGACTGCCGGAGTGAGCACTCCCTAAAACCCTCCCAGGAGGCCCCTCCTGGCAGGGGCAGCTCTTAGCTTAGAAGTCTCTTCTGACCTTACCCCATATGATGCTGCTCACCTGGGCATTTGGGACAGAGAGCAGTCAGGGTCCTGGGCAGATACCATTTGCAGATTTGGGAGGGTTACTCCGCCTGTTCCTCACAGCAAACAGCCCCCACTCCAGTTCCCCAGAGAGTGGTATTGACAGGAGATTGAAGATCTCCTCCCAACCCTGTAGCAGGCTCTGTGGCCCTCCGACAGCCTAGATCCTGAGGGGCGGCCAAGGACTCTAACCACAGAGACGTCGTTGATGGAGGGTGTTCCCTGCCCTGATGTCTGGCCGGCTCCCAAGTCCTAGTGAGCTAGAGGCCAGGGCCACTGGATGCAGGCCCAAGACTAAGCCCCCATGCAAACCCTGCCCAGCACCGCCACAGCGCCCTGCACATGAGCCTGTCATGAGAGCTGGGAGCCTTCCCGAGCCCGGAAGGAACGTGCTCCAGATTCTTCCCCTCTGCGTCTAGGCAGATTCTCGAAGACGGGATCCACGAGCACTTCTCAGTGCCTTCATTCGTGCTGTTCCCTTTGCCTGGCATGCCTTTCCTTCCATTCTCCTGGTGAAGTTAACTTCACCTTACGGCCCAAGTAAAATGTCTTCCTCCTCGGGAAGCCTTCCTCGGCCACCTCCCCAGCACACTCTTCTTTACACTAAGAACACCTCAGTCATCCCACAGGTATTGGCCCACGCACCCTCCCTTCCAGAGTGTTCAGTCGGAGCCCTGCTTCCCGCTCCTGGCAGGGAGCAGGACTGCAGCTCAGCTGATGTGCCTAATACAGATCCTTTGACTGTGAAGGAATTCCCAGGGAGCCCTGGAGCACTGGGACCCTGACACCTGACCTGAATGCTGCTGTGTCTAACACCTCTGCTTCTCCATGCAGCTGCGAGGAGCTGTGCCCTCCTGGGAGCCATGGAGCTCACTGTGAGCTGCGCTGCCCCTGCCAGAATGGGGGCACCTGCCACCACATCACTGGCGAGTGTGCCTGCCCCCCAGGCTGGACGGTAGGTGGCCCCACAGGATCTGGGTGGGGCACTGTAAGAGGGCTGAGCATTTGCCACTCACACACCTTAGAAGGCTAAATCGGCCGGGCATGCTGCTCATGACTGTAATTCTAGCACTTTGGGAGCCCGAGGCCTGCAGATCACTTGAGGTCAGGAATTCAAGACCAGCCTGGCCAAAATGGGGAAACCCCATCTCCACTAAAAATACAAAAATTAGCCAGGTGTTGGGGCACACGCCTGTAATCCCAGCTACTCAGGAGGCTGAGGCACGAGAATCACTTGAACCCAAGAAGCGAAGGTTGCAGTGAGCCAAGGTTGAGTTACTGTGCTCTAGCCTGGGTTCAAAAAAAAAAAAAGGCTCAATTCTTCTCCCACTCTGAATACCCTCACGCCTATTTATCACCTTAGGGCATCACTAAATGCTGCCAGTGGTGCCATGGACACAGCTTTGAATCCCAGGTCTGCCGTCTCCACGTGCTGTGTGGCCTGAAGTTACTCACCTCTCTAAGCTGTGGTCTCATGTGCAAAGAAATTGAGTTCTTCTAAGATTGACTGTCTGTGTGTGTAAACACCCACATGAGCTGCTGTGGGCCCTGGGCCAGAGGTGGCAGAAAAGTCTGGGAAAAGAAGAAACAGCAGGTACGGGTGACCTGAATTTAACGTCACCCCTGCACTCGCGCACACACGCATTCGGATTCCGTGGGCCCCGGCGTTTGTGTTTTAACAAGTGCTGCAGGTGATTCTGACGCAGACTCAGGCAGCCCGGATCTCCCCTCTGGGAACCACCATTGTAGGAAAGGGATTTATAACCTCAAGGGTCTAAATTCAGGTCTCACATCCAATGTTAACCCTGAAAAGAGCCTCCATTACTCCGCTTCCCCAAGTCCAACACTGATGTGCCACCAGTGAGCCCTGCCCTGCCTGGCTGCCATGGCTGGTGGCTGGCTCAGGTGAGGCTGTGCATGTCCGAAGTCCTTTGCAAGCTCTGAAGCTCCCTATGATGGCTTGATTTCTGTCCCTGAGTACCAGAGATCCTCTACAAGCCTCCTTTTAGCCAACACACCCTGCCTATCAGCACCTCCCCTGCAGACCAAGTCCTTAGAGGCAGTGAGTCAGCTGGAGCTGACCCTCCTGGGCTGTGTCCCTGCCTCGGACTGTCCAGTAACACGCCCCAGGTCAGGGGAAGCTCAGCGACACAGTCCGCTACCTCCCCTGGGGCCTGAGGCTTTGCAAAGCCAGGGAGGACAGGGCTGCTGAGCAGAAGCAGGATATTTTAGGAGGCTGTGAATGCAGAGGTCACAGGGACAGAAGGGAGGACACCTGCAGGGCCCATCGATGCAGGCACAGTCTTGTCAGAATGTTTTTAGGGCAGGAAAGGACCTTGGGGACCACTTGGTCCCACAGTATCCAAACCTGGCTGCACACCAGAGCTGACATGAGGGTGGCGGTGGATTAAAATGCAGATTCCCAGGCCCCATCTGTGACCTCCCGGGACCGGGGGATCTCTCTTTTTAATAGGCTCCCCAGATGGTTCTGAGGCAGCCAGTCCTGACTGCAGGTCTGCATTTGGAAAAAATTGATCCAGACCATAGGATTTCCTTCTGTGTTTCACAGAACCCTAGGGTTTCTTGAGGGAGAATGGGGACAAGAGCCCAGTCATTAGGACCCTGGTGCCCACCCCACCCCCACCTCTCCATTTGATCTATTTTCCATATTGAGGTGCTCTAGGTAAGATTCCACGTAAAAATAGGGTTTCCCAGCTTTAAGAGATTTGAGCCCCCGGGTCTGTCAATACCTTCCTTTCTCAGATGAGGACACTGAGGCTCAGAGAGGGTAAGGGACCTGTTCAAGGCCACACTGGTAGTTAGGGGGGAGGTGCAGCTAGAATCGAGGTCTCCTGACTCCCAGCCCTTGGCATCTGTCTGTCCATCTGTCTGTTTTCTCTGAGGAAGAAAAAGGGGCTGCCGCCACCTCTCCCATACCTGCCCACCTCTCCCATACCTGCCCACCTCTCCCATACCTGCCCACCTCTCCCGTACCTGCCCACCTCTCCCATACCTGCCCATTTCTCCCTCCCTAAACCAGTCTCTGGAAAGACCCTCTCATCTCCAACCAGCTTCGGAAATTCACCCAGTAGGCTGGGTCCTCAGAGGCCCAGCAGCAGCGGAGAGGTTGGATCAGGATGCAGTGGGGAGAACAAGGCCACAGCATCCCCGTGCCTGTAAAGGCCTCTCTGGAGACGCTGCTGAGGCTCTTCTGGTCAAAGACGGGGAAGGTGAGACGCCAACACATGCAGGGATTGTATGTCTCCCCAGCACAGCCAGAGGTCTGTTCTTCCAGATGACAGGAAACTCTGTCAATAGAAGCCTTTGGATTTGGGGACTTTATGTTTTTTATTTTATTGTAGACAATTGCATTTCTATTTTTGACATAGCATTTAACTTGCAGATTTGTATGAATTATTAATACCCCTTGTGCATACACAGTCACCGTATAATGAAGTCACACTCATGCCTGAGGCTCCTCCCAGGGAGAGCTGGGACCAAGGAATGGCTACTGGGGAGAAGGCTCCCCACTTTAGCATCCCCTGGCGCCTGACTTTCCCACAGTCACACAGTGGGCCCTGTGTGACTTCCACCTCACATTTTCCAACTCAGAGATAAAAAGACTGGTGATTCGCACCATGCACCTCCCCAAAGGCCGGGCCATTGTCTGAACTGGAGAGAGGAGCTGCCAGGAACTCTGGCCCTGCAGGCCCCTCCGAGATTCCTGGCCAGCAGGCCCTGAGCATGCACACGGGATGGTCCACCAGCCCAGCACGAAGCCTGTTTCAGTAGGAGTCTTTGCAAAAGAGCTTGGGAATCATTTCCCCTCTTTCTGAACTCCGAGACCTAGCAAAGCAGAGAAGCCAGGTGTGAGTCGTTTGATGTGAGTGGGCACTAGAGACAGAGAGGGAGAAGGAAACGGGATTGTCATTCCACACCCTGAGGAGTCCCCAGTCTGATGCTGGGGGCTGGATACCGTGTGTCTGCCCACATGCATACACACACACAGAAAAGAGACGGGAGGAGAGGAGACTGAGGGCCTGGGAAATAGGACTAGTTATCCTAGAGGGCCAAAGAGAGGTTTTGCGTGGTGAAATCCTATCTCTACTAAAAACACAAAAAATCAGCCAGGGGTAGTGGTGGACCCCTGTAATCCCAGCTATTCAGAGGCTGAGGCAGGAGAATCACTTGAACCCAGGAGGTGGAGGTTGCAGTGAGCCAAGGTTGTGCCACTGCACTCCAGCCTGGGTGACAGAGGAAGACTCCATCTCAAAAAAAAAAAAAAAAAAGCAGAGGTGTTGGAGCCGAGGCTCTAGCATCACAGATGCTCAGGTCTGAGAAGGGAGGTTCATGGAGCCCCACTTCCAGTCCTGTGGCCTAGATCTCCTTCGCAGCGCCCACACCAACCACAGCTCACGGTCCCTTGAGGGTGTCCATGCCACCCTGGAGCATCACTGGTGGTTAGAAATGCCTTCAGGGGCTTGGAGAGGCTGAGGCGCCTCCCTCCAGGGGAACCAGCACGCCTTCCGTCCTCTCCCCATCTTGGCCTCTTCTCTTCGTATGTTCCATTTAGCCAAGATCCTTTTAAAGTGTGACTGTTTTCCAGATTTTGACCAAGCCATTTGGTCTAACCACTTCTGAGAGGAGCAGAAAGTGTCACTTTACCCCATGTCCAACTTTCTACTTGACACAGCAGTCCAAGATCCCTCTACAATTGGAGATACATACTCAGTTGACCATAGGGCAAATACATGAGTCCTCTGGGGCTGCCATAACAAGGTGCCACAGACTAGGCAACATGAACAACAGACCCTGATTCTCACAGTGCTGGAGGCTAGAAGTTCAAGATCAAGGTGTCAGCAGGGTTGGTTCCTTCGCTCAGAACCAACCCTCTTTCCTTGGCTTGTAGATGGCTGTCTTCCCCCTGTGTCTCCATGTAGTCTTTTTTCTTTGTCTGTCTGAATCTCCTCCTCTTGTAAGGACATGAGTCATATTGGATGCGGGCCCACCCATATGACCTCATCTTAGCTCGATTACCTATGCAAAGATCCTAGCTCCAAATGCAGTCACATTCTGAGGTACTGGAGGTTAAAACTTCAACCTACGAATGTTGGCCGGGCACGGTGGCTCACACCCATAATCCCAGCACTTTGGGAGGCCGAGGCGGGTGGATCACCTGAGGTCAGGAGTTCGAGACCAGCCTGGCCAATGTGGTGAAACCCCGTTTCTACTAAAAGTACCAAAAATTAGCCAGGCGTAGTGGTGGGTGCCTATAATCCCAGCTACTTAGGAGGCTGAGATAGGAGAATCGCTTGAGCCCGGGAGGCAGAGGTTGCAGTGAGCTGAGATCATGCCATTGCACTCCAGCCTGGGCAACAAGACTGAAACTCTGTCTCAAAAAAAAAAAAAAAAAGTTTTTTCAAGAGTGTCCTTATCCAGCCCAGGACTGTAGAAGACTGAGTCAGACAGAAGCCAGAAGGACTTCCCTCCCCTCATGAATACCTAGAACTTATAATGTGCACTGAGAAAGACAGGCCCCTGCCATGCCTGGGGTACCCCCACCACCTCCAGGAGGAAGAGGGACCCCTATTCTGAGTGACTTTTATGATTATTATTATTATTTGAGACAGAGTCTCACTGTGTTGCCCAGGCTGGAGTGCAGTGGCACGATCTTGGCTCACTGCAACCTCCACCTCTCGGGTTCAAGCAATTGTCCTGCCTCAGCCTCCCAAGTAGCTGGGATTACAGGTGCCTGTCATCATGCTGGGCTAATTTTTGTGTTTTTACTACCTGCCTTGACCTCCCAAAGTGCTGGGATTACAGGCATGAGCCACTGCACCTAGCCTGAGTGACTCTTCTCTCCCTTCTTCACACACACACACACACACACACACACACACACACACACACACACACAGTCTCACTGTCCTTGGCTGCCTCTGCCCTTCACTCCTCCCTCCCCTCCCCCCCCAGCCCCTCCTCTCAGCCCCCCTACTTCTGACTTGTGTATGGAGAGTCTGAGCTTACTAGCCCCCTGTTTAACTCATTACAAGTAAATTGAATGATCTTGAAAGATGACTCTGGTCTGGCAGAATTTTCCTAAATAAACCAGCTTCTGCAGGGTTGGCGATTATTGGTGCTTAATAATTGTGTGTTGAACTAATTGATTAATTAATTGGAGGAACATCCTTGATCTCCAGAAGAGAAATGACTATCGGGTGTGTGTGGGACTGGAAGGGCAGCAGGAGTCGAGAGCAGGCTCAGATTTGTGAGTTAAAGACCTAAGACTCATGTGTAATTTTAAGTGATATAATGTCACAAGGCTAATACTGGGGGGCGGGGGAGTCCCCTACTCCATTTACAAATCCTACTCCCTAAAGGCAACTACTCTCAAATCTTTTAGGTATTTCTCCTGGAATTTCCCTCCATTTTTCTATATAACATGCTTTATAGCTGTTTCTTGACTTTTCCATTTTAGTCATTGAATCCATTGACTTCCTGACATAGAATAAGATTCAGCTCTGCCATACACACACATACAAAACAAGCGACTCTTCTCCCACACCTCCCAATGGAGTTACGTTACAATTTGTGGTTAAATTATTGAAAAAAAATATTTAAGACACGGCATCTGGCTGTGTCACCCAGACTGGAGGGCGGTGGCTATTCACAAGCACGATCATAGCTCACTTTCAGCCTCGAACTCCTGGACTCAGGCAATCCTCCTTCCTCAGCCTCCTGAGTAGCTAGGACTACAGACAGGTGCCACCATGCCCAGCTTGGTTAAATTATATTTTAATATTTGTTAATATACACATGTATTGTTACTAATTTATCCTTAAAACTCGGTGACGGAGCTCTCAAACTCCTCAGGAAGGTCAGATGCATCAGAAGTCTCTCTGTTTGGCCTGGCGTGGTGGCTCACGCCTGTAATCCCAGCACTTTGGGAGGCCGAGGCCAGCAGATCACCTGAGGTCGGGAGTTCGAGACCAGCCTTACCAAAATGGAGAAAACACCATCTCTACTAAAAATACAAAATTAGCCAGGCATGGTGGTCCATGCCTGTAATCCTAGCTATTCAGGAGGCTGAGGCAGAAGAATCGCTTGAACCCAGGAGGTAGAGGCTGCGGTGAGCCGAAATCGTGCCACTGCACTCCAGCCTAAGCAACGAGAGCGAAACCCTGTCTCAAAAAATTTTTTTTAAACCTGTCCATTTTTTGCTTTTGTTTTTGAGGCAAGTTTCGTAGAAGCCTGCGTCTTCTGTTCCAGTCTGAACTCCTTTCCCTGCAGGCCTGCAGCATAGCGGTCACCTGGGACTTCCGTTCACCCCTCTTCTCTTAGAGTCCCTAGTTCCTGAAATTCATGCCTTTCTTTTTCTTGGGTAATTTTTTTTGATGGAAAAAAAAAATCCTCCAGTAGCTTTCTGAGAAAGTGTTTATGGAAGGTTAACTATTTGAGGCTGTTCAAATCTGAAAATGTCTTTATTGAATCCCTCACTTGAGTGTTAGTTTCGTTGGGTGTAGAATTCTAAGTTGGAAATAATATTTTTCCTCTGGATTTTTAAGGCATTGCTCCATTGTCTTCTGGCTTCTAGTTAAGAAGTCTAAAACCTTTAATTCCTGATTTTTGTATGTTGTTTTCCTCTATTTTCATTTTTATTTGTTTCTGTAGAGATGAGATCTTGCTTTGTTGCCTAGATGTTAGAGACCAGGGGCTGGTCTCCAACCCCTGGGCTCAAGAGATCCTCCCACCTTGGCCTCCCAAAGTGCTAGGATTACAGGCATGAGCCACCACACCTAGCCTGTTTTCCTCTTTCTAAAAACTGTGAACATCATTTCTTTATCCATAGAGATATAAAAGTTTACAGTAACACACCTTGATGCAGGTCCTGTTTCATTTTGTTGCTGGAGACCTTGTAGGCCTTTTCAATTCAGAAATCCAGGTTCTCCATCCTTCCATTCTGGGAAATTTTCTTTTATTATATTTTCCATTAATTTACTTACCTCCATTTTCCCTGTTCTGCCTGGAACTCCTGTTAATTAGATGTCAGACCACCCAAACTGGTCCTCTAATTTCATTATATTTTCTCTATTATTTTAAATCTCATCTGTCTGTCTGTCTCTCTCTATCTGGTGTACTTTATAGGAGATTTCTTGTACTTTATCTTTTGGCTCTTCTATTGCAACATTTTAACTTCCTCCATATTATTTTTAATTTTCAAGACCTTTTTTCTGTTCTGTAGATATCCTCTTTTATAGCATTCCATTTTTTCATAGGTGCAATAGTTTCTTTTTTATTTTTTTTATTTTTATTTTTTTTACTTTTTTCTGCTACTAGGTCAGTGCAAAAGTAAGGTGCAATACTTTCTTATAGCTACCTGAGCATGTTCATTTTCATTAAGATAGAGGCTTCTTTCCTTCTTTTTTTTTTCTTTAGCTTTTCCTTGCTCCAGGCATGGTTCTTATTTCCTCTGTGTTCCTGTTGTCTATTTGTTTATTTCAGTGTTTCTCTTTCATGTGAGAGCCTATTTCAAATATCTGGTGAGCCTTGGCCATCTGTTCATGTTTCACAGGAAGCCTCAGAAAAGCTAATTGGACACCTGGGGGTGGAGGGAGATGTTGACCGATGGGACCCTCAACTATCCGTATCTTTAGATCACTTCTCTTGAGCGCCTCAGTGTCCCTAGAAAGGAATCCTCCAACCTCCTGCCACAGGGAGTCCCGTCCCTCAGTCAGCTTTCTGGGAGCACAGTGGGGAAGAGAGCAGCAGGAGAGTCCTACCCCCACCTTCTTCTGTGCCTGTGTCCCTTGTCCACAGCCTGTGAGACCAACCTCTCTGAAAGATGCAGGCAATTCACCTGGCTCTTCAAGGTGGGGGCAGAGATTGGGGGTCCAATTCCCTATTTTATAAACTTTCACACAATCCTTTTCATCATCCCTGCACCCTCACCTTCGGAGGGTCCCAGTGTCTCTGATTCCTGAACTTTCTGCGGTTACAAAGGACTTCATTGCCCAGCATTGGGACACCCCCTTTGCAGGCACTTAGCATTGCCCGGGAAGAGAAAGCAAAGGCGTTGGCGCCCCTCCACCTGCTCTGCCGTCTTCCGGTGTGCGACATCCCTAGTCTCCTCTTCCTCTCTTCGTCGTAGGTTTATACCTTTACCCGTTTAACTCTCATGTCAGCTGGGTTTGGGAAAGAAGTCAAGCAAAGTGCACGTCTCCACAGCAGCATGTTTACTGAGCCTCCTCAGTGCTTTACTGTGTACCCATGTGAGAGTACTTACTGCCTTGTACTTAGTTTACTCAGCCTCCTCAGTGCTTTACTGTGTACCCATGTGAGAGTACTTACTGCCTTGTACTTCATTCCTAAATTGTGCTGAATAACTGCATGAGCAATTTGACTTCAGTCTCCCACCTCTAAGAGGAGGGCTTTGGAGCACTGGTGTCCAGCTGTCTGTACTTCTTCTGGGAAGTTGGGTGGTCCCTGGGGTCACAGCAGCTGTGCCATTCCCAGGGGAGTTTGGCATCTCTGGAGCACCACCATGCATGTCTTCTCATCTCTATTTCAGGGAGCAGTGTGTGCCCAGCCCTGCCCATCAGGGACATTTGGCCAGAACTGCAGCCAGGACTGTCCTTGTCACCATGGAGGGCAGTGTGACCACGTGACTGGACAGTGCCACTGTACAGCTGGATACATGGGGGACAGGTAAGGGTGGCGTTAACTGTTGTCTTTGCTGTCCATTTTGCTCCTATTCACAGAAGGCTTGTAGAGAACAGCTCATAGCCCTCTCTCTGTCAGCCTTCCAGCTCCTTTCTCAGAAAGCATTCTGAGCTCTCCTGCCAGGGAGAGCCAGCAACTGATGCCCCCTTGCCCTCGGCCTGCAGAGCACACCAGCACACCCTCTCCTCTAGCCTAGTGGCCCACGCTCTGAAGGAGGTGAGCACCTGCCCCCACTCTCTGCTCTTTGCTCTCATGGAGGGAGGCAATGGCACAGATAATCCAAGCAAGCTGAGAGGACAAAATCACTTCATCTGTTTTGCATGATTTCTTCTGGAAGGTGGATTTTTAGTCCTAATTTGCGTTCCAACAAAAGGATGCTGATATCAGTTTGCACCCTCTGAAGGCCTGCAGCCTAACAGCAGACTGAAGGAGGCACTAATGTCCTGGAATGAAACCAGCCTTGCAGAGTGGATAATCAAAACACACAGAACTGGGTAATCACCATACGTGCACATGTGCCCCAGTTGGAAGAAGGATCCCATGTGGACAGGGCAGGTGCAAAGGAAAAGGGAGAAACGGCAAGCAGCCTATGTGAGGATGAGTAGGTTGGGAGCTGGAAAAAGATCTTTGAAACCCTCAGAACCCGGGCCAAGCCTCCTTCCTCTCACTCTTGACTACATGGGTCTCTTCAAACAGAGAGAAAGGCTGCACATAGGCGGCCCGCACACCCATTGCCTGGTTCCTTGGGGAGCCATGTTTCATTTCTGGCTCCTGGATTGGATACTTTTCTCAGACAAAATGAGAGAACATTTTTCATCCTTCCCTGCCTGAGTGACATCAGGGCTGAGTTAACCAATGAGTCCCTCCATCTCTAATAGACAAAATTGGGGCTCCTCTAGCTCTCCCTAGAATCAGCCCCGAATCCTTAGCGATGTCCAGAAAAGAGATTGTCCATTACCCTTAGGCTTATTTACCTCCAGCTGGAAGTGTTTTAAGCCAGATCTGATCTCTTTGTGATCCAGTGTTCATCTATGTGAGCTTCCCCGACACAGAACATGGGGTGTGGCACCTGGGGACCCCTCCCTCCCTGAGCCGTGAGAGGGAGGACTGAAACACTAAGCGCGTGTTCCCATCCTCACCATCTCCCCAAATCAGGAAATGCTCAGGATGAGCCAGCATAGACTGGAACCAGGAAGACCCTCACGCCAGCACAGGACTGCTTTGTCAGACCACTTTCCCATGAGAGTGCAAACTGCCCGCTTGTTGAAAATGCGTAGGCCTAGGGCTCTAGCCGGCTGGACTCTACACCAGTAGACCCTAGCTCATTGGTGCTCTCGATTTTCGCTGTCAGGACGTGTCAAGTAGAGAAATAATCCATGGCTGGGTACGGTGGTTCATGCCTGTAATCCCAGCACTTTGGAAGTCCAAGTCGGGCGGATCACAAGATCAAGAGATCGAGACCATCCTAGCCAACATGGTGAAACCCTGTCTCTACTAAAAATATAAAAATTAGCTGGGCGTGGTGGTGCACGCCTGTAGTCCCAGCTACTCGGGAGGCTGAGGCAGGAGAATCACTTGAACCCGAGAGGCAGAGGTTGCGGTGAGGCAAGATTGCGCCACTGTACTCCAGCCTGGCAACAAACGAGACTCCATCTCAAAAAAAAAAGAGAGAGAGGGAGGGAGTGGGGGGGAGAGAGAGAGAAACCAAAATCTCTGCTTATTGGAGCCTGGTGCATAATCCCGGGCAGAGAGGAACCCTTAAAGCCAAAGGGCCTTCTAGAAAGCTTTGCCAATCAACCACATGAGGGTTCAGTGGGAGGCCAGGTAGCATTTGGGCTTCTCACCTAAACGGGCTGCCTGGTGTTTAATATTTTGTAAAATTACCTCCATTAATTTCGTAGGTGACAGCTGCATTAACCCACCCCAAATCATCACGAGCACATTAAAGTTGAGTGGGTGTCATAATGCAGGCCTCCCCGGATAGGCAGAAACCAGTGCAAATTAAACATGAAATGTAAGGAGGGCTTTGCAGCTCATTTTGTAATTTAATTGAGCAATGTATCTGGTTGTTAATGGCAATATCGGACACATTAGATTGATATGGTGCAAAGGAAGGATGTTTAAGTAGAAAACTAATTCCTGCTGTGATTACCCTTCTGTTCCACAGGCCCGGTTATTAGCATGCTTTGTGTAAAATTCATTAGCAGTCATTGCTTGATCTCTAAATAAATAAGTTGTTTAAATTGTGAGTAGAAAAAAAAAAAGAGGCTGATTATGTAAATGAATTAGGTTGTCAATATTTCAATTTCCAGATTGTCTTTCTGGGGCTGTAGATTGTCACCCCCCAAAAAAAATAGTGGGCTAGGGAATTGCCCGTCAGAGGAGCTTAGGGTTCAGGGCTCTGCCTGGTCCTGCTAGGCAGGAGGGAGTAGGAATGTTTGAAAATAAACAGGTATCAGGAGGTGTCTGGTTGGAGTTTTTTTCACCTGACATCTGAGGCATTTGAGGCCATCAAAGCACAGAGACTTCTGGAGAAATCTATTTGCAGGCTGAACAGGGGCTGGCAATTCAGATAGTGATTATTCAGGTCTTCAGCTGCCCTTTCCCCTCCCCGTCTGCCTCAGTTTCTCTCCTTTCCTTCCCGCATCCTACTTCTCCTCATCTGTCTTCCACTTTCCTTCTCTAGACATCACCTTCTTTCTTGCCTCCTCTTCCCTCCCTTTTCTAGTCTCATTTCCTTCATGAGGCCTCAGATTGGCTGACCTGCAGCGAGATTTGCAGGAAGACAATCTGGGGTCCCCTTAGCCACATGCAGGCTGCGTGAGCTTGGAAAAGTTGCCTCACTTGTCTGATGGCAGCCTCTTTAATGCCAAAGGGGGGGTGATGAGAATATCTGGTGCTTCAGGGGCTGGGGCCAGGCTCTGGAGCCTGGGCAGCTGGAAGCCCCTCGCTCCACGGTGCCCAGGGGCGTCATCACCATGACCCCTGCTGCCCCTCTGTGCTGCTGGATCACTCCTTTGCCACAGTGGCTCTGAGAGGGGAGAGCTGGGCATGGAAGCACTCAAGGCCGGACCCCAGTCACTGTCCTCTTCTCCTTGTCATTGTGGGCACAGAGCAACGAAGGCAGAGAACAGACACAAGGATACCCCAGTTGTTGCCAAGGCTGGTGCCCCACACACTGGTTCCCCTCATTCCCTACACACTTGCTAGCTGGCCCCGCCATATCCACAGGGGTCTGGCCACTCACCCTCACCGTAAACAACTGAGGTCACCCAGACACAGAATCTCCCTGCCCAGTCTGTGGAAGAATAATCCACCCCACGATCCTCCAGATTCATAACAAAGAAGTTAGAGCTGCATTTTTTTTAATTGCTTTTCTCCTCTGATTATTGTAGAAGATATACAGAAAACCTGGAAAATGGAAACACATGATAATTAAAACACGAATTCATCAAATCCACTCTACCAGCATTTTAGAATTTTTCCCCTTGAGCTTTTTCATGCCCGAATTTAAGGCCAGAAGGTCAGGTGGGCTCTGTTCTAAGAACTGTTGAAAACAATATTGACATGAGTCCTGATGAAAATCACTAACTTTTCTAATCGAGCCCCAGTCATGGGCTGGGCACCTTTCTAAATGTTTACACACAGTATCCCATTTAATTCTTATACAACCCGGTGAGGTTTAGTGAGTATTGTCCCGTTTAATGAAAAAGTAGAGGTGCTTGAACACGGGAGGCGGAGGTTGCAGTGAGCCGAGATCGCGCCACTGCACTCCAGCCTGGCGCCTGGTGACGCAGTGAGACTCTGTCTAAAAAAAAAAAAAAGAGAGAAAGTCAGAGCTTTAGGTTAGTTCTCCATTATCCGCACTGTTGAATCAGTGCTGGCACAAAGATACCCCAGAAGCCTAGAGGCCAGAAGCCATTTCTATTTGTCTTTGGAATGCAGGAGGTCACCCCCAACCTCTTTTACTTCTTATTCCCCTGGGTTTACCCCTTGACTTACCCGGATCTAGTTGCTGTGACAGTAAGTTTGCATCCCCTGGAAAAGAGCCCAGGGCAGGAGTGAGGAGTGCTGAGGCACATTCGGGAAACCGGGCAGTCAGCAGTGGGGGTCACACACACCTACGGAGGAGCCACACCCATGGCTGTAGTTAAATGAAGTTGAATAATTATCCTGATGTTGGGAGCTCCAAGTTCCAGCCCAGACATGCACAGGACACAAAGGAGGTCCCAGGCTTCCTCCTTGGGGGCTCACAGACTGATGGAAGAGACTCAGCCCCTGCCTTGAGGGAACCCCTTTCCACGGAAGGGAAAACAGCCCCTGTCACACGGAATTCTACAGTCCAATGAAGAAGAATGCTTTCTCCACTCGAGGGAGATTCCACAGCCAGGGAGGAGACGCACCTCCCAGTGGGACAACAGAGACTGTACCTCTGCCCAAAAAGCTCAAAAACCAGAGACGCTGTGTAGAAACAAAACCACCCCATTTCATCAAATCTAAGGTGTCGTTGATTGTAAAATGCATCATTATTTCATATGCTGGGAAGAATGAAAAACACTGCCAATTAACTTATGTCATCAGTTATAAGACATCTAATTTCAGAGATATAAAAACATATTTTAATAACAAGGTGTTTTTGGTCAGGTGCGGTGGCTCACGCCTGTAATCCCAGCACTTTGGGAGGCCGAGCTGGGCGAATCACAAGGTCAGGAGTTCAAGACCAGCCTGGCCAACATAGTGAAACCCCATCTCTACTAAAAATACAAAAAATTAGCCAGGTGTAGTGGCGGGTGCCTGTATTCCCAGCTGCTGGGGAGGCTGAGGCAGGAGAATCGCTTGAACCTGGGAGGTGGAGGTTGCAGTGAGTCAAGATTGCACCCTTGCACTCCAGCTGGGCAACAGTGCAAGACTCCATCTAAAAAAAAACAAAGGGGGCGGAGGGTGTTTTTAAACCTACCTAGATGGTTTTTTGTTTAATGGGCGAGGAGTTTCACTTTGGGAAGATGGAAAACTTCCAGAGACGGGTGGTGATGCAGCATAACAGTGTGAATGTAGTTACTGCCACTGAACTGTACGTGGTTAAAACAGTAAATTCTATGCTGGGTACTGTCTTAGTCTGCTCATGCCGCTATAACAAAATACCAGAGACTGAGTAGTTTATAAACAACAGACATTTATTCTCACAGTTTGGAGGCTGAGAAGTTCAAGATCAAGGGGCCGGCAGGTTTGGTGTCTGATGAGGGCTCAGATCTCTGCTTCCAGAAATGGTGACTGTATCTTCAGAGGGTGAAAGGAATGGAAGAGCCCCCCTCCAAAAAAAAAAAAAAAGGTCCTCCCCGGCTCCCTCCAGCCCTTTTATAAGAGCACTAATCTATTCATGCCCTCATCACCTCCCAAAGGCCACACCTCTTACTACCGTTGCATTGGGTGTTAAGTTTCAATGCGAATTTTGAGAGAACTGTTTTAACCATAACATGTAGATTTCACCACAACTTTTTTAATTTTTAAAAAATATTAGGCGTGGAATCAATAACATATGGTGGCAGGTGCCGTAATCCCAGCTACTAAGGTATGCTAGTAAAATGGTAGTACAAACTCACTGCTGGGGGCACTGAGGAGACCTAGGGTGAAAGGTGGAAACGACTGGGGCGAGCTAAACCTTGGAATACTTTCTGGAGGAGGAGAGAGAAGAGGGGAGGAGGCTGTGAGCAAGGCAGAGCATACCAGGCCCGGCTGGAAGGCAAGGAGAACAGCATCTTGGAGGATCCGCCGCCTCAGCCCCACTCTGCTATCCCGTAGGTGCCAAGAGGAGTGCCCCTTCGGGACCTTCGGCTTCCAGTGCTCGCAGCGCTGCAACTGCCACAATGGGGGGCAGTGCTCCCCCACCACGGGCGCCTGCGAATGTGAGCCTGGCTACAAGGGTCCGCGCTGCCAGGAGCGGCTGTGCCCCGAGGGCCTGCATGGCCCGGGCTGCACCCTCTCCTGCCCCTGTGATGCTGACAACACCCTCAGGTATGAACCACAAACAGGCGAGCCCGGGGCAAGGGCGGCGGGTGGGTATGGGCTCAGGTGGAGAGGAGGCTTGCTAGGATATGGCCCCCCCGCCTCCAGCATGAACATCCAGGCAGGGTGGTGGGGAAAGAGCTAGGACCTCAGCACTCAGCCTCGAGAACCACTTTGATGAAAAGAAGGGGAAGCCAAGGCCACATACCCAGAGCCGGGACTAGAGCCAGGTCACTCACTGCTGCCGACCGCACCTGGCTGCCTGCATTTCAAAATGTGCCCGTCCGAGACTTCACACATGCAAGCAAGGAGAGAGCAAGGAGGCGGGTGGAGCACAGCTGCACGGCCCCGGGGGCTGGGATGGCAGGGCTCAGGTGCCACAGGTTCTCAGCACATTGTCCAGGACGGTATTTCCCCTCCACTCACTTGGTGTTCAACCAGAGACAGGGCCACTAGGGCAGAAGTAGGGGCTTGAACTGCAGAAGGTCAGGACTGGAAGGGACCTCAAAAGTCAGTGGGGCTTGTTGGCTCACGCCTGTAATCCCAGCACTTTAGGAGGCCAAGGCAGGTGGATTACCTGAGGTCAGGAGTTTGAGACCAGCCTGTCCAACATGATGAAACCCCCTCTATACTAAAAATACAAAAAGTATCTGGGTGTGGTGGCGCGTGCCTGTAATCCCAGCTACTCAGGAGGCTGAGGCAGGACAATCACCTGAACCCAGGAGGCAGAGGTTACAGTGAGCTGAGATTGTGCCATTGCACTCCAGCCTGTCTCTGTCTCAGGGGAAAAAAAAATACATATATATATATATATATCAGTAGGGCCCATTGTAGGGCTTAGGGAGAGCTGTCCCAGCAGGCCCTGGCAAGGGCAGAGGAGCAGGAGCAACAGGGGCAGCCCTTTATCAGGGCCAGCCTCCCCCAGCACTCTGTCCTTTGTGGCTTGGGACATCTGGGCAGAAGCTGTGCCCCTACCCCCCACTTCCAAAGGAGTCTGAACCTGAGGTGCTCCAGGCTACTGCTCCCAGCTCCCTTCCCTGCCTGTTTCATGCACCAGCTGGCACTACCCCTGGGTAATAACTGAGGCTGCCAGCCCTGGATAAATGCCCCCACAGCCCTTTATGGTGGCTGCCTCTTATCTGGGTGATGAAGGGTCAGGGGAGCACCCCTTCTCCCTCAGGCCTGCAGACAGCCCAGGGAAGACTGGCCACCCAGGGCATGGGTGCTGCTGCTGTTTGCAGGGCAGACAGAGAATCCTTCTGCTTTGCAGCCCGGTCGCCGGGACAGCCCGGACCTAGCCTCGGCTCCTCTTCATTTCCAGGCTTTGAGCTTTCACAAATCACCCTGGAGCCTTGTTCACTGTAAGCAGAGGCATCTCAGCAAGTGTCACGAGTTAGACTAAAAGGTCCTCCCTCCCTGGAGCGCAGCAGCTGGAATGGTGTGAGGCAAAGGTGGAGGGCCCAGGAAGGAGACTGTCCAGAGAGGGCACCAGAGCCAGTGGAGCTGGCCTGTGCGTGACCTGAGCATTCATTCACTTGGTAACACTGAGTGCCTGCAGGGCTGGGCCATGAGGGGGACACTGAGCACCTTCTACCACATTTCTTCAAATGCAAAAACGATACCAGTAGTGAGGCACAGCTTTGTTTTGGTTACTCCTAAACTAGGAAAATTGTATCAACTGAACCGTGACATACCATTGATTGTGTAACATACCCAATATCAGAGATGTGAAAATGTAGAGAAGTACCTCTTAGAATTGATGAAATATATGTGGCTGGCCCTGCTGGGTTCCAACATGTACCCAAGTAACTGTGATCCAGAACTATGTGATGCTGGTCAGGGAAGGCTTCCTGTAGGAGGTGGCACCTGGACTGGGTCTGGAGAGCAGAATGGCCGCTCCAAGGCACTGATTACAGAAGTCCCACATGGCTGGTCAGGGGACTGGGTAGCTGGCTCAGACTGTTCTGTGTGTCTAAATATTAATATTCCAGGATCCATCACTCCTGCTGGGAAGCTGAGGGGAGGACCTTCTCCGAGACGGGAAGCAAGGCTGATGCTGGGGCCCATTGCAGGGAGCCCCTGCCACAGAAATCCAACCAAGCCCCAAATTAAAGGGCTATTGTTTTCCTTCTGTGCCTGGGCAACCATGCCCTGTGTAAGTCAGCCTTGCTCGGAAGGAGTCCTCGATGCATTATTAATCTGGAAGGACTCCCTCTTCTCTCCTGCTAATCTCAGCCCATCCAATATTGATGATTATTTGCTTTACTGTCTTAAACGCACATCAAGTTTCAGGGACTGGGAGGGAGCAGTGGTTCTTCAGAGTGGGGGCTCAGTGTGCCTGCCGGTCTCCTCCGAGTCTGAGGGGAGCTTTGTCACAGCCTGGGCTCCCTGAGGGCACCAGCAGCCTGGCTTATCCATCCCCGTGGCCTCTAGCCTCAGCGCCACACGGTGCCTGCACAGAGTAGGCCTTCAGTAAGAAGAGTCCTCAACTCATCAAACAGCTTCTGCCCATTAGCTGAAGTCAGCCCTATTTTTTAAAAAAAATACATATTTCCCCTTTTCTTTTGGCACACTGGCCCAGTGGCGGAGCCCCTGGCACTACGTTTTTGTTCTCTTGAGGTTAAGATTTCTCGCCCTGGCCACCATGAACGTGCGCTGGGTAACTCTGTGTTGTAGAGGGCTGTCCTGTGCTTTGCAGAATGTGGAGCAGCATCCCTGGCCTCTACCCACTAGATGCCAGTAGCATCCCACTTCCCCTGCCCAAGTCCTGACAACCAAAAATATTGCCAGACATTGCCAGATGTCCCAGGCTGGGGTGGGGCAGGAAAAGTTCCCTGAGGCTGAGAGCACCTGGTCTAAATGAACTCTCTCATGCTGCTTTTGCCTGTGTTCTTATGGACGCCAGAAAACAGCCCTCTTCCTCCGTGTGGACAGAGGGCAGCTCCTCTCTTCCCGTGAGCCTTTTTTGGCCCATTGTAGAGTCTTCTCTTGAGATGCAAGAAAAGCAAAGGAATGACTCTGTGACTTCTGATCTTGAGACAGTTAAAGTTCAGGTGCTGGGTGGGGATTGGGACTTCTGAGTCCTGGCCTCCAGCCTACCTCTGCCAAGCAAGTGCCTGACACATGCCCTTCTCTCTATGCGTAAGTTTCCCAGTCTGTCCATCACCTTTCATTAACCCAGTGGGGAGAAATGTTTTCCTGTGGGTCTTTGAAAGTGAAGCGTCCATCCAACTCCCTCAGAGAAGGAACCTGGGACCCCTAGAATCCTAGCCTCAAAGCCCCCTGCCCTCTGCAGAGCTTACAACAAACCCCGACCACAACAGCGCGCAGTCTTGAGCATCTTTCCTAGGGCGACAAAGTAATGCCAGCCCCCAGCCAAAGAAAGCCCTTCCACCGAGCTCTGCCTCGCTCTGGTTTGTGCCCTTCCGGCAAGGCTGGTGCACAGAGGTTGGGTCCATGCCCCGGGAAGGAGGAAGTGGCTGGTGAGATTCTCCAGCCCTTGACCAACTCTTCATTCCCTTTATCAACTGTTCGTAGCACACACAAAGAAACCATCCTCCTTTACACGGGAATAACCTTGAGAAAGAAAGCACCTGTGTGTCAGTGCTCTTACATGTCCCCTCCAGAATTGGATTGTCATAGACTAATTCCAGCAGCCATGATTGCGTATTACCTTTGAAAGATTTGATTTAGCCAACAGATGGAGCATTGATAGAAATCTCATCGCAGCTGAAAGAAAGGCAGAAAAATCCACTCTGGAAAGAATCCTGTATTGTTCAGCTTTCGGCTCCTATTAACTTGTGATTAATCTATGTCTGGGGCAAATGGGAGAAAAGAAAAAAAAAATAGAACCAGCCTAAGCACCAGTGATTGTAACACCTGCCTGAGCCAAAAACAGCAGTCTCTGGCCTGCCATGTGACTCAAGGGAATGGGAACCACCACTGGGAAGAAGGGATGCCTGGGAGAGGAGCTGGGAGAGTCCCTCTCCTGAGGGACAAAGTTTCCAGGCATAGCGACCACAGCTCTCCATCATGATCACTGTCAGCTGTCACTCTTCATCCTCTTTTCAAAGGGACTTTTAGAGTTTCTGTAAGATGAGTAATCATATTAAGAAAATAGATATCCCACTTCTAGAAATAGGATTGTAGGGATATGAAAAAAAAAAGAAAGGAATGATTTTAGATTTGGTGTTGAGCCTTCTGGTTCTCAGAGTAAAGAGTAAGATTAGCTCCTAACATATCCCTGAGCAGTCAGAATGACAGCAGCAGAGATCAAAAGCAGGAAATGCAGAGAGTACTTAGAAGTCAGCATTTGCCGAGCGAGGCGCGGTGGCTCACACCTGTAATCCCAGCACTTTGGGAGGCCGAGGTGGGTGGATCACAAGGTCAGGAGTTTGAGGCCAGCCTGGCCAACATAGTGAAACCCCGTCCCTACTAAAAATACACAAAAATTAGCTGAGGGTGGTGGCAGGCACCTGTAATCCCAGCTACTCGGGAGGTTGAGGCAGGAGAATCGCTTGAACCCGGGAGGCAGCGTTTGCAGTGAACGGAGATTGCACCACTGCACTCCAGCCTGGGCGACAGTGCAAGACTCAATCTCAAAAAAAAAAGTCAGCACCTGCTAGCTCGTTGTGTATGGAGTGTGCTTTTCACAGGGTGGTACCCTCACCAAAGTAAGAGTGTGTAATGGGTGAACTCCAGCATGACCATTTGCTAGGCAGAGACAGCAGAAGGATCTACTGATGGAAGAAGCAGAAAGGTGCCTGAGACCTTTTAGAATCTCTAGTGCTTGGCTGAGCTGATGGCTGCAGCCAAGACCTGTTAGGTCATTCCATTCAGGTCATTCAAACATGTCAGTCCCCACAACCGTGACTGAGCCAGTCTCTGTATGCTAACCCTAAACCTCAGAGGATGCCCTTGGAAAGATGCTACCTAGAGAGAAAGAACAGTGCCCCAAAACCATCTGGCAGAGCATCAGGGCCACCAAGAGGCACTCCTTCCCCACGATAGCCGTGCAGGTCTCTGTCTCCCCTTCCAGTGCCTTGGGGCTCAGGGAGGGATTTTTCTCAAATTGTAAAGGTCAGAAAGTCTTCAAACACTCATCCCTTACACGCATTCTTCTTTGTTATAGATTTACAATTTTTATTGCTTTACAAATACAATGGATGCTCAGTTTTGGCAAGTTAGGGAATATATAGACATTTAAAGAAAAAACTTAGAATCAATTTCTCAACCCAGAGGTCAGCACAAAAGCCATTTTGTTGTCATTTGCCCATCTGCCGATGTCTATATTGTTTTCATAGATTTGATATATTTTCATATTTGAAAGATTTGATTCAGCCAACAGATGCAGCATCGGTAGAAATGGCTTCGTATACAGGGTGCTCATTTCACTTAATCTTACACCAGTCAACACTCTGAAAAGCAATTGAATGTGTCCCTTAGCATTGCTTCATATGAATGCCGTAATTCATTTAACCAATGCCCTGCAGGGAGAGGTGGCATGAGGCAGTGAATAAAATGTGACCAGACAAACCTGGGTTTGAATCCCAGCTCTGCCACTCACTGACTTAGCAATGTGACCTTGGGCAAGTCACATAACCTCTAAATGCCATCTGTGAAACAGAGGCTCAGATGCCTAATTCCCAGGCTTATTTGAAGATTTAGAAATATATGTATAAAGTACCGGTGCCTCAACAGCCTGGTCACACATTATTTATTATTATTTAAATTGCTTCCATTTTCCGCTGTTATAAATAGCGCTTCAGGGAACAACTCTGCATAAATCTTTCTCCACAACTATGATTATTTCCTGAGGACAGAGTCTTAGAAATGGAATTACAAGACCAGAGTCTGAATAATTTTAAGTCTCTTGATACGTAACCTCAGATTGTTTTGAAGCCTTTACCCGCATTTTTAAACATCTTCGCTGTTTGGATACAGGAAAAGTGGTGTCCAATTGTTGTTTAGACTTGATGATTAATGAGACGAAATCCTTTTCTGAAATGATTATTAGCTACTTGCACATATTATTCAGAAATTTCCTCTTCCTGCCCCCTCCCCTTCATTTTCTGTGAGAAAACCAGGATCCTTAGAAGAGGAACAGCTTGGCTAGGCTTCACACAATTAGTTTGCTCATTAATTAATTTTCCAAATATATATTAAGCACATTCAGTGTGCCAGGGACTCTGTCGGGCCCTGAGAAGGGAGTAAGACAAAGGACTCTGCCCCATGGAGCTGCAACCTCGTGGAGGAGACAAATGACTAATCAGCAGACAAGAGTAAAGAATCCATGGAAGATAATTCTACTTAGGGGAAGCCATATTCATTTCCAAATATTCACAAGGGCAGTGAATATGAGCCAGGTGTTGGGGACCCACCCAAGGCCCCGTGGAAGTTAGCAGAATCAAGACTTGCCCCAGGTTCCCCCTGCCAGCCCAGGGTATGCTTGACCTTATCCTCTGCACTGGGCTCCAGAGCAGGGAGGCAAGTGCCACAGGGAATCTAAGAGGCTTGTCTCTGCCACCCAGCACTTCTTTGGTGTGCTATTCTGAGCCCCTCCAGAAGCAGATACCAAGGGCAAGTGGTTTACTAGGGGAAGCATCTGTGAGGGAAAGTGGGGAGGAAGCTCGGGAGGCTGCGAACGCTGTCAGATCACAGAGAGGGAAAAAGAAAGGAAGGAGGGAAGGGAGGGAGGAAGGGAGGAAGGGAGGAAGGAAGGGGGAAGGGAAGGAAAGGGAAAAAAGGGAGGGAGGGAGGGAGGGAGGGAGGAAGAGTCTTAACCCACAGCACAGTTCTAAGAAAGTCTGCCAGGATGGGACATCTTAAAGCCAAGGTACCCATCAGAGGAGTCCCAGATCCCAAGAGTGTGCCCACCTTAGTATCCCTGCTGTGCTCCAGCTGGGAGTGGCCCAGGGGAAATGTGACCTCTGGATTTCAGACTCAGCAGCTGGGGCCATTGGACAATTACACTCCTGCAGGAGTTCTGGGCAGCACACAGTTGCACCTGGCATCCCGCTGACCATGAATGGACATTCGCTGTTGGATCAGATGGCTGCCGGCTAGAGGTTGCCCCATTCTCTGGAGGTCATGCCAGGGAACTCTTGCCTCTGGCCCAAATGATCCTTTCTCTGGCCTAGACAGGAGATGGAGAACTTGCTCCTGTTAAAGAGGCTGGGAAAGCATATGTTGGGGATTGTTCTCTCCAGGGCAGACACTGCCAGAGAGGGGAGGCCACATCTGGCCCTTGTTTTCACTCAGCAGCATTCACTGAACACCTGCGATACGGAGAGCCACTAGGTATCATTGCTACCTTCTCATGCTGTTCCCATGCTAAGCGTTTGCCTTGGGTAAGGGTTGGATGAAGACTTGGACCACATGGTCTATAAGCCAAGGGACTAAAGAGGCCACCCTCTGTTTTGCTTTCCATGTATTTGAATTATAAAGAAGATGTGTTTGGGAGTCAGGAGACCTGTGTTCTCATCCTGATCTTGTCATCTTGCTGTGTGACATCTGGGTAGTTGTAAAATCACCATGAGCCTGAGCTCCTGGGTGCTAATAAGACCATGCTGCATTGGCATCTTCGGATAAACAGACAAGGCACTGAGCAGTTTAATCCCAGAGCTCCTTTGATCCGGCTACCCTGGGCAAGCCAGGCTTGGGGTGGGACGGGGCTGCTTCCCAGAACACAGTGTCCTCTTACCCGTCTCTCACCTGCACAGCTGCCACCCGGTAACCGGAGCTTGTACCTGCCAGCCAGGCTGGTCTGGTCGCCACTGCAATGAATCCTGCCCTGCCGGCTACTATGGCGATGGCTGCCAGCTGCCCTGCACCTGTCAGAACGGCGCCGACTGCCACAGCATCACTGGCGGCTGCACTTGTGCCCCGGGCTTCATGGTAAGATGGGAGGGGCCTCTCATGGCCTTCCTGACCCCCGACCCGGCCAGCTCCCCTCACCTCCTGGTGCAATCAGGAATGTGGCCCTGCACCCAGGTGCTTCCTTGTGTCCCCCTCAGAGATAGATTCCATGAGGGGAGGGCCCCTGAAGCTGGTCTCAAAGGGCCAGGGTTTGTAATACTGCCAATAACAGGAGAAGGGGTCCTTCCGTCACCCCCAGCTCTGAAGGTTGCCTTCCTTTGTGCCCAGCTCCTCCTTGCCTATATTCTTATGCACACAATATTTTACATCAGAAAAAACACAATACACATAGACAGTTTTTCACTCTGCCTTCTTTCACCCACATTTCTATGTTGCTGCTTGGGCTTCTTAATTATCATTTTAAATGGCTGCATAACCTGTAGGAGCAGATGCACCCCTGGTTTCCCCAGCCATTCTTACTGCTGATTATTAAGCTGTTTCCAGTGTTCACAGTGAACGTTGCAGTGAGCATCTTCATACAAATAGCGTTCCCCCCTGCCAATTGAATTATTTCCTTAGGGTGAATGCCCAGGGTCAGTGGGCACAGTATAGCGATGGCTCTTGACGGATGTCGCCATATGACTTTCCTCAAGGGTTCTATAAATCTACACCACCACCAATTGTGTACGAATGTACCTATTTCAGAATAACTTTGCTAACATGTTTTTAATTTTTGCCAATTACATAGGTAGAAAATGGCTCCTCAATGTTGCTCTAATTTGCATGTCTCTGATTACGAGGGAGAGTGAACATCTTCCCTACGTTTGTCTACTATTTGTATTTTCTCATGAATTATGCGGGTCTTTATGAGGTTTGGTTCTGGGGAACTTGGCATTGGAAGTGGAATCCTGTTCAAAGGTAAGGCGTGCCCAGCAGGTTCAAGGAGACAAACACTCAGGGGTTCTCTATGGCCATATGTTTCATTGTGCTGTAGGAAGTGATACAATGGTGCAGTTGAAAGAGCGTGGCCTTTGGAACCAGACCTGGGTGGCAGGCACCCTGGCTGTCCTATTCACCAATCATGTGATCTTGGACCAATGAGTCAACCTCTCTTAGGTTCTGTTTCCTCACCTGTGAAAGGGAACGCCTGCCTTGTAAGGTTGCTGTCAGGTGTTGAGATGGGATATACAGAGTGCATTTTAGCAGGCTTTTCAGGCAGTAGTAAATTTTATAAGCATCTGTGGCCCTTGTTCACTTGCAGGTTCTGATTCAGTAGGTCTGGGATGGGGCCTGAAGGTCTGCCGTTCTAACAAGCTCCCAGGTCAGTGGTTCTCACTTTGAGTAGGATGCTGATAGGTAGCCATGGGTCTCAACTTGGGCAGCGCACTGAAGTCACCAGGAACGCTTCATAGACGTCAATGCCGGGGCCCCGTTCCCAGAGATTCTGATGCATTTGATCTAGGCATGGTCTGGCTGAGGCCAATGTGCTGCTAAGGTGGAGATCCACTGATCTACAGGGAATTCTTGTAGATCAAGTGAGGGTTTGCTTGGTGACAATGTCTTTTAAAGACAGGCTGCCTCTGGTCTGCAGAGCAAGGCCCAGGACAAAACACTGTTCAAAATAAAATGTGGCCAGTTCTGAATTGAGATGTGAAGTGGGAAATACGCACTAGATTTCCAAGACTTAGTATGAAAAGGTGAATATAAAACATCTCAACAATTTTGTTAGGTTGATTATATGTTGAACTGATACCTTAAAAAAAAAAAATATATATATATATATACATATATGTTTTTATATATATTTAACGTATCACATATATTTAAAGTATTACATATATTTATATATTTTTATGTATTTAAAGTATATGTATACATATATATATATATATATTTTTTTTTTTTTAGAAAGATTCTTGCTTTGTCACCCAGCTGAAGTGCAGTGGTGCAATCTCAGCTCACTGCAACCTCCGCCTTCAGGGTTCAAGCGATTCTCATGCCTCAGCCTCCTGAGTAGTTGGCATTACAAGCATGTGCCACCATGCCTAGCTAATTTTTGTATTTTTAGTAGAGACAGGGTTTTGCCATGTTGGCCAGACTGATCTCGAACCCCTGGCCTCAAGTGATCCACCTTCCTTGGCTTTCCAAAGTGCTGAGATTATAGGCATGAGCCACCACCTAGTCTAAATATATTTGTTTAAATCAAAACATTTTACTAAGATTTTTTAAAAAACAGTTAAGCTCTCCCTTTCTCTTTCCCCAATGCAGATAAAACTTCCTCCTTCCCCAATGCAGATAAAACCTCCTCTTTCCCCAATGCAGATAAAACTTCCCAATGCAGATAAAAATGAATTCTTTGGCATGTTTGAAAGAGAAGGAAGCCGGGTTTCCTCTTTAATTTAGCTTTGTTGGTGCGAATTTTTGCTGTAATTTCCACAGCAAAATGGAGGTGCCCTGGGTTTTGAATTTGGGTGGGAGAGAATAATTGTTTGGGATTAAACATCTCACATAGCCAAGTGGTCAGGTGACTGGAGCTGACTGCACTGGACTGCTCATGGCTGACCCCTGTCCCAGCTTGGCTTCTGGCATAGCTCTAGGACTTTGGGCATCTGTGGATGGGGAGTATACAGGGAGAGAGAAGAACCTATAACTTCTAAGATGGTCTACTACATGGACTCCGTGGATCAAGTCTGGGTGAAAGGGGGAAAAGTAGGAGCAAGGAGATATGTGCACACGTCGGTGTGGGAAAGTCACTGAGGGTCGTACCGTCTGGTCATATACATTGTCTATGCATCTGCTGGGAGCCTTGCCTCCCTCTTCGCCCTTCTTTATCCCCAGCTGCCTGCCTACTCACTGATCCTCAGAAAAAGGGAAAATTGGGGCCCTGGGAAGGCCTGGGAGGCAAGCATCTGTTTGCCCACTGCCCCCAGTGCTCCAACAGTCTGGTGGCCAGGCCACTGCCTCTATTCCTTGCACCTGAGATGCAAATGACTTCCTGTCCTTGAACTTTGGGGCACATGGTGCATGCCAGAGTCGTCTCACTGTGGAGTCCCCCTGCCTGGGGCTCAGAGCTAAGACAGATTGTGAGTCAAGCTGCCCTGGTGAGACCCAGTGAATTACCATCCATCTCTTCCCGCCCAGCATCATTATTCCTGGAAAGGCTCTTCTAGGGCTCTGTTGGACATTGGGCAGGGGCTGCAGGAGGTGATTACAGAACATTTCATTGTTCTCAACCAGTGTGACTCATTTCTTCACGCACCGAGCCCTGAGGGAGAAGCCGTTACTCTCACCCTCACTCCAGCTTCTGAATGAATGCAGCTTCCCACAATTAGCCAGCTAGTGGGGGCAGGCTGCAGAGCAGACTCAGCAGAAACTGGCCCCAAGATGTCCCACAGTCAGTAATAATTAGCAAGGCCTTTGTTGGTGGGTTAGTTTGCGAATGTATGTATCCTGCCTTTATCCTTGAATGATTTTAGGATGGGTAGTCAGTTGCTGACTGATTAAAGGAGCCCTTTTCTGGGTGTTTGGAGACCTTCATTCTGGGCTCAGTAATCTTGGGCATGTTACTTCACCTTGCTGGACCTCCATTTCCCTATCTGAACGATGGGAGAAGTAAATCAGTTTTGTCTGCTATTGGATATGAGTAGCCCACATGGAGTGGATGCGAAACCGCATCCTCAGCTCTCCCCTCTGACTCCAGCTATCCCTGCCCAGGGTTTTTAGGGAGGATATTGGGACAGCTTTATGAAAGCAGATTCTGGGGGCTGAGAATGGTCTTGGGCTCAATATCAACATGAGGAGTGCTGATGAAGTAATGCAGAACCATATTTGTGAGCTCAGTGACATGCCTGCCACAGCCACGTGGTCCCACCCCCAAGTGCACAAGGACATGGGCCAGAAGCAGGCCTCTGCTTGGGGCTCTGGGCTGGCCTTCACACACTGCCTCTTCCCTCCCAGAACACTGGATATTTCCTCTGCTAGGACATAGGGGCCAGGCGGGGATGTGGAAAGACCAACCAGACTCCCATCCAGCCATCCAGGAACCTGTGTTCAGTAATAATCATATGCACACTAGCAGCGAACACTCACTGAATCCTGGCTGCATGCTTCATCTGACTTATGCCTCACAAGGGCCCTAAGAAGGTGCACTTTCACTTTCTGCAATTTGCAAATGAGGAGCTGGAGTTTAAACAGGATAAGTGACTTGCTTGGGATCACAAAGCCAATGGTGGTGGGAGACACTGAACTCTCATGTTAGTTGATGAGCTTTGATTGAAGGATCGCTGTGGAACCAGACAAATATAAGTTCAAATCCTAGCTCTCCAATCCCCACACTGACTACTGGCAACTCACTTACCCTGCCTAACACTGACCTTCCTTATCTGCTAAAACAAGACTTTGCTTGTGAGAATTAGGAATCTTATATGAGAAGTTCAAAACCCAGTACCTGAAATACAACAGACACTTGGTGAAATGGTAGCAATTTCTAGTAAGATATGAGAGTCGTGGGGGAAGTGTTGCTTCCCCCATGCCCAGCATACCAGCAGGAGGGTGTTGGGATGAGTGGTACCCAGGGTTACCCAATGGATCAGAGGCATGAATGTACACAGCTGCTGTTCTAGTGAGGTCCACTCAAGCACCTGTGGGTCACCCTGAGTGGTGGGTCTCAGGAGGCACTGTGGAGGTGGACAAGCATCGGAACATTTGGGGAAATTGAGATAGAGATGGAGGTGAGAAGAGAACGTGGGCATTTTAGATGTTCACTTAGCAGCAGTGATAGAATCACTTGGGGTGTGCACTGATAAATTACACTGTGGCTGCCCAGTGCAGTTAGAGTCCTCGACCAGAAAACAAGAAATGGGTTTGTAGCTCTAGCTCTGCTACCTTTCTGGGCTTCTACTTCTCATCTATAAAATGGGAATGAAATTCTCTGCCTAACGGAAACAGTGGTATGGGAGCTAGTCATTCCAGTGGGAGCGCTGACAAATGGAAACGGCATCGTTTCAGCACCTTGGACAGCGTCACGAGCCACTGTTTCA